TTCTGTCTGGGCTGCGGAAACTTTACTGATATGTGATTCGGCCGAAGTGTATTTTTATGACTCCCCTGTATGTCGTCGCGTGTGCCAAAGATTAACCCAGGGCTGTAAGTGGCTGTGGCTTGTAGAACTACGCAATCGCACTCACTGAATCGCAAAAGTTTGACGATAGAAACTTTTCAGAAAAACATTTTAGAAACCTAGAGAAACAAACTAGCGTCAAATGAACAGTGCAATTAAAAAGGTACAGTAGGTTAGCGTCCCTGCCCTTGAGACCTGATCACACATGATGCAGGTGATTCAACAAAAACCTCGTAGTAAATGAAAAAAAAGGCATCAAAAGTGTAGGTGATGCAACAAAAGTATGCCAATTTCCATCAAAACTTTCAGCTCGAAGCAGCAGCCTGAGCAACGGACGAACTTGGAAAGACTATTTGCTTTGACATAAACGCGCTGTTATCAGCGCAAGGGTCGAGAAGCGTGGAGCAAGGCGATGACTGTTCTCCTCTGATACCACCCACTTAGACCACCTGTTTAGATTATGGCATATATTTGTAGCAAAAGATAACGCTCATCACAAGAACGATTGGCTATGACCAAAAAATTTTACTGCTGATAAGATTCGAACCAGGACCTCACCCTTACCGGGAGGGAGCATCGCCTTTGCTGTCGAAAACCAGCGGGTGGGAGTAAATGGGATCGTATCTACCCCCAAAGTGACTTTCAAGGGTTAATTTTACCATTATCATGCGCGCAATATAAAGCCTAGTAGGTGGTGAAGCAAAAACATTACCCGTGCCAGGGTACACGTTGTTGGGGATTTTCCAACGGGAGGTCGCACCTATGGTCGCTGAGAGAAGGGGGGGGGGTTGTATTCCCTTCTGACCTCTGACGACTTTTCGTGGTTTTTCTAATTTTATGTGTGCTATATACCCTGCCCCCGTCGACAGCGAAATGTTCGGGTAAAAGTAGGAAAATTCTCGGAACATTCCGGAAAAAAGAGTAGGTAGTTGGGGAATCGGGGAAAATTCAAGAAATGGTTGAGGGCAGTCGTATTTTCGTTTTTTTTTCGGTTTTTCCCATTTCATATGTGTTCTTCCTCCTCGCTCTACAGCTCAATAAGGAGGAAATCGGGAAGGGGGGAGGGAGGGTCTGAGCAACTCGTATGGTCTGAGCAACTTCCCAACAGTGGTGTGCCTGGGCGGGGCACTTCACTGGTTGCGGAATTTGCTCGGACCCGTACGGAAACCCTATCGTGTTGCATATAATTTGCGTGTTTGTTTGCTTTGTTGGTTTATCCGAACGTTTGGTTTCACGGGAAAGCCATTTGAATAGATTGGGTCAGGGTAGAGATGGGTAGAGCATGATACAAGCTATACAAAGCGTGAATCAGACTAAGCTCCGCTCATGCTTGGCGGAGAGGGCACCATAAGTGAGCATTATGGCTTCTATGGCGCCCACTGAATCACCGTGAGGGGTGTCATGAATAAACATCTGTAATTCGATTGCAGAACAGCCCAGAGACCGGGGGAAGGTCAGTAAAGGGTAGGACGGATGAATAGAGGAGACACGCTGATCCGACTGGTTTAGCCTGGTTGAGTTGATCAGAGATGTTCATCCCAACCACTCTCCATTCTGCTCCATGGCAAACTTCTGGAGAGATTCAGTGAAATGGTGTGCAGATTGTGGAAGGGGGCCGCACCTAAGGAGTTCATTAAAAGGGGGTTGTATTTTGGATAAAATCCGCACAACTTAATGCTATAATAGGTCCAGCACCTGCGTAGCATGTCGGCCGTTACACCACCATGCTTCGATGGTTCAGGGTATTGGGTATGGTAGGTATCCAACGGGAAGCAAGGGAAGCGCGATATTTAGGTGTGACTGCCGTCTGGGGTAGAGCCTTTCGTCCGAAACTGAGTTTTCCAGGCGTTCGTTTTTTTAATGATCACCCGGATCGTCTGGAACAAAGCGTGAACCGTAGATTAAACCTGGTTAAAGCAGTTGAACCAACGTGTGAGTGTTAATGAGTGCCAACTGGTTAGCGATTTCAGTTTTAATCTGGATAGTCAAATAGTGCTACCGTGCCAGTTGGTTCACATGACAGAACCAGAATCCCACAGGGGTCGATGTTCATTAGCGCGCTGGAACAGACTGAATAATCGGCATCTTTTTGAACTATACGGATTTCTGATTGTGAAGGTGCGCAGGACTCACAATAGGGTCCAGAAATGTGGTAGTTACTCAGATGTCTGTTCCCCCATGCCCGCTCGATAGATAGGGCTCAGGTATGACAAGGGAAGCATTTTTATGGTCATGGCTCACCTTGTATTGTGTAGTGAAAGAAAAAAGAACGACAGAGTTGGAGAACTCCTGAAAGAGTTTTGGAGAGGCGTATGTAACAGGCAACTATTTCTTGAGTTTATCTACGAGGTCACCTTCATAAGAACATCTTCCGGCCATCCAGATGAGTTATGTCGTTGCAGTCACACCTGAACCTTGATGGAATTGCCCACCGTCATCTGAGTGGGTGGGTAAATTGCTCAGCAATACCTTACTTATTGAGCAGGAGAAGTAGCAACACTCGAGTCGCTAGAGAGAGAGAGAGAGAGAGAGAGAGAGAGAGAGAGAGAGAGAGAGAGAGAGAGAGAGAGAGAGAGAGAGAGAGAGACACCAACCTGAGCCTGAACCATTGAAGGAAAGCCTGGCAGGTGCTTCGTTTTCGTATGCCCCACCCAAAAAATTAAATGTTGACGATAGGCCTTCTTCCTAGGAGGGGCTGTTTCTGGGACCCGCCTATAAAACGTTGAGGGTAACGGTGTCCGAGTTCTCTTCTCGCTAAATTCAGTATTGTTTTAAAACGTTGTGCTTCTTTTTCTATTGTGCCAAGGAGGTTGTTAGGTGAAATTATTGATTTATGCTCCATGTTCGACTGTCCAGAAACCTTGGCATCGTGTGTGGTCTTGCCTTCGATGAGATACTGTAGCCACAACCAAAGTGTTGGATCACTTGATTCGGCTGAGGTTTCGGCTAAACTCCTCCATCAGAGTCTGGGAGTTGAAGTCTGTATGACTCTGTCCTCAACATCATTTCAAACTGAAAATGGTCCATCATAGTCCAGTACTAAGTAGGTATCGCAGATCATCAGCACAAAAACTCACCTTTTGACTTATTGCAATACTTATGGGTGGCCCGATGTTTCAATTCGATCGTCGTCCGCGACCACTCAGTCCACCAGCGCATAAGCGAAAAGACGTCACTCTGTGTTTTTGTGGTTAGCAACACAGCGACATCTATGAGCACCTTGAACCGCTACTGCGCCACGCCTGCCCTGCATCTCGGGGATTTGGAGCATGTATTTGTACCAGCCTCCCCTGGCCTCTACCTGAGATTATAAGAAGCGGCCCTGCAAACAGGGCATGTCGTGTGTTGGGGGTCCCAAATCCCAATGAGGAGCGTCGCCAACTGGATGCGAATAGGAGGGGTGGGGGGAAGGGAACGGTTCTCTTAAATTTTCTTGGCTGTTCCTGTCTTCAAGTCCATTATGTACTCTCACTCGCAACCCTCCCCCCTGCGGCTATTTTGTCAGGGCACATCGTTGCTGGAGACTCTGCCATCAGGGAGAGGGTCGTATTTAGTTGCTGGTAGGGGAGGGGCTTTTAAGGTGATTTTGAGGTGGTTCTGAAACAATTTTTTGATGTTGTTTTTTCTTGTTTCAGGGACGTTGTAAAGGAGAAGGGGGTCGTATTTGCTCGTTGTAGGGAGGGAAGGGGTAGTATCCTCTCCTGACTCCTGAGAAAGCATGCTGACTTTTCGTGGTTTTTTCATGGTGCTGTATACCCCCGCTCGACAGCTCGATGAGGAAGGGAGTAGGGGTAGGGTCGTACCAACCACTGAAAAAAAGGGCGGGGTCCGTACGGACTCGACCAAAATCCCAACCAATGATATGCCCTGTTTGAGGTAAGACTTCAAAACTGTAATAGAAAGTTGTGGAAATCAACGAGATCGTAGGTAGGATGGGATATGTGGGCCCAACGGAAAAGTCATGGAAGGAGGTCGTACGGAAGGAGGAACTTTTGAGGTATTTTGGGTCGTATTTCGAGAAAACTACCCCCCCCCTCCTCCTGACGGTAGGAGCTCCCCGTTTCCGAAGGGCTCCGTGTTTTGAGAGTGCTAGTATTCTGCCTGAACGTTTCCTCCGACTTCTGCCTGACCAGCCCAGTAGGCTTAGTAGTTGGCAGATTTCCAAGATCACCATCAAACGATAATTCAACATCTAATATTTAATATACTGGCATTCCAGCACAGATGCATACAACGAAACAAAACGACCATAAATATACAAAACGGACAGAAACTAGGTGGCAAATAAGTCATGTGGACAGACGGGAACTTCTTTGGAGTCTCGTAGCTCGAGACAATCCGCGGCGACGGTTCAATGGCGAAACATAATAGAATCGCAATTTTATTTATTCCTCCAATATAACTTAATATCAAATTAAGAACTCAACAAGAAAGACTGAATTTCAAGAATTCCGATTGGAGCGCTACTTTCCTGATGTCAGATAGCAAAGATTTCCAGCACCACACGTGTATCCCGTCGGGCAGGCGCCATTCACGCATGGTCCTGAAACAGACACTTGAACGTCTTCAGAAAGCATTGAGTACAAGACTCTGAAGAATTTCAATTGTGCGACTCACCCAAGACTCCGCCGGATCCGAGGGGGCAGCAATAGTTATTGGTGTTGCACATGTAACCAACAGGACATTGCTGATTTACACATGGTCCTGCAAAGAATATGAAACATATATGACAGCCCATTCCAACCTTGGAAGTGTTATCGTGTCCGAGACGATTTCTCTTACCTGTTGAATTTCCAGATTGGCAACGGCAGCAAAAGTTATTGGTGGTGCAGAAGAACCCCTGACCACATAGTCCACCCAAGCAGGCCGCTACAGCTGGACCGCCGGAACATGCCGCTGAAACAAGTGAAAATTGAAAATCAGGCTGAAAAAGGAAAAATTGGCTCCAACAATGATTGACTCATAATCGGACGCCACAGTGGGCTAGGCAAGACCAGCACATCGACTTCTCACTCTGCGATGGAATAAATCTACAGCTTTTTAAAACTACTGCACCTCTTCAATGCTGTAGCAAAATGTTAGGGCCAAACATGACCGAAAGGCTGCTATGGAAGGGTTTCAATGGGAAGGAAAATTCTAAAGTCCTCATCATGTTGAGTAGTAATGGTTAACCGCATCATAGTCCCTTTTGCTAGAAGCGAACCCCCCAGGCGGCTGAGGAGGGGAGGGGGGGGGAGCGAGAGGCGAGGATTTGCATTCTCGTTTACTTTCGTTTACTATAGTTCTTGTTAACTTACACCTCAGGTCTTGATGAGACGTGGATACTATTGTCATGTGAAGGAAGCTAGCGCGCATGGCTTCACAAGAGTTTAGAGGTCTCCACGGGAGGCAACGGCAGTGATCGACAGGAACCAGCAAAATGCCTCCACCGAGTTGCCCCTCCACCTTTTCCCCCCGAGTATTCTCTTCCGGTACGACTTCCTTCCATAATCGACCAACCGCCTACGCCGTAGAGCAGTGGAGGGGAAGACATATACAGCCCTG